AAAGGAAAATAATCTGAACTAGTATCAATAAAACTGAGAAAATAACTAGGGAATACCTTAAAATATATTTTACTAAACTGGAAAATATAAAAGAAACAAAAAGATTTCTAGATACATATAACTTATCGAAGTTAAATCAAGATAAATAATTTAAACAGACCTATAGTAAACAAAGGTATTGAAGCAGTAATAACAATGAAAAACAAATTTCCCTTCTAAAAAGTCTAGATCCACAGATTGCAAAATTCTACAGTAACTTTAAAGAACTGCCACCAAATGGTTTACAGACTATCCCACTTGATAGAAAACGAAAGAACACTATCAAGCTCTTTTTATGAAGTCAGTAATACCAATTTCAAAACCAGATAAAAACAACAAAAAAGAAAATTACAGACAAATCTATCTGATGAACTGATACAAAATTACTCGATATAGTATTTACAAAATCAAATTCAGAACACATAATCATTAACCATGATCAAGCTGACTTCATCCAAGAGATGTGTATTTATCTATAAATGCAGTATGACTTTCCCCAAGTACATGGTGATGGACCCTGACAGGTCTAGTGGATGGTGTGTGGTCAGCTGAAGACTCTCTCTTGATGAGACTGAAACCCCACAGCTTTGGCCACTGTGTGTCTTGCAGCTGCTAGAAAGTGTGACTTCTGTGAAACCTGCAGGATTCTGGCCCTTACATCCTAGCAGACATCAGAGAAAGATGAGTAGCAACAAAAAAAGCAGCAATTAGCAGTGTTTTAACCCTCTTTTCCCCATCTGTATAGCTCCAATATTGTCAATGAAATCTGCCATTACAACTCCTTGCTAGTCTACATGCATCAGCCCATCAACCTCAAGAAGTAGAACACCTCAATGGTTACAGTTCTAACACCCTCAACAGGATGATGCCATCCTTTTCGTGCAGTGTATGGTTACATTATACTAGCACTACAAGTTTCAACCACCTGTTGGGCATTAAACTATATCCTGGTTTGAATAGGCTGAATGTACCATTTCCATGATTAATGGACTCATCACTGGCCACTTAGTTAACATAGTCAACAAAAACACATTCTATGAAGTAACTCATTCCAATGCAATAGGCTGAGGAGGCCCCAGGAATTTGTCAGTAAGAACCCTGAAACTAGGTTCAGCTTTTGTTTCCCCATCCTTAACAAGATGTAGAAGCTCCAGGGCAGCCTTGTATACACTTCATCCAGTGGGCAGGCTTTGTGTTCTCCAAAATAAGAGAGGCCTATGCTATTGCTGTCGACCGCATGCAGCATTTGGAAACCTCTTCTAGAGTGAAATGGACAAGGACTGGAAAATGTCCCATTCATGGCTGAGCGTACGCTCATTTACCATTTTGACTGCAGCAGAACTATGTGACTATGGCACGGTCCCTCTTGACCACTGAAGTTCGCAATCCCCCCTGCAGTACATGTTGTATCACTATTGTGAGCAAAAGGGACAGGACGAGAGCCTCGACTATATCTAGCATAGCTGCAAGGGCAACCAGCCCCACTTTATCACTGAGAGGAGAGTCTTCTTGTCCTAGGCCTACCTTGATGACATCACCTTCTCCTTAGACAAGGCTTGACACCTGTCTTCCGCCTCCTGGACCCCTTCACTGCTTTTGTAACCTCACAAATTCTCTGACCTGTCCTTCTGATACCACCTACTCTACACAACCTTTCTGACACTGGACAACACCAAGTCTCCAACACCCTGAGACAGGACTCCATTGCCCCAACTAAGGTGGCAGTAATTTGGGGTCCATTCCTTGGATACTAAATCAATATATTCTCAGAAATGACATATTCTTAAACTCAAATTTACTCAGAAAGATCCCCATTCCCAGATTAACTATGCTTAGATTTTGACTAGACAAGAGGACCCTGTGATACCCAATTATCCAAAAATAATCCCAAATCCCCGATTAGCCAAGAAATACCCTGACTGGTTGAAGAACACACTACTATCAAAGTCCTGGCCAGGAAGCACTCGAGTCAGCCTGGATTGATCAGAAAATATCTATGGTTGAATGGCTGTGTCCAGAGTCACCTCCTGTTGTTGCTTCTGGATTTCATAAACAGGGTGGATAGATAGACCTAAACAGTTCATTTACAATCTTGGAATAAACCCGACCAAAGTGGGAAACAGGACTTCAGTCACTCAAGAATGATAAATGGGACATCATCCAGTTACTTAACTATAATTAATGGGACATCATCAAATTAAAAGAAACAACTGTGTAAAAAGAGAGCCTGCAGAACAGGAAGAGGCCTTTGCAGGTCACCCATCTGACAAAGGATTAATATTAGAACAAATAACTCAAAAAAAACTAACCAATAATAAGTCAAACTACCTAATTAATACAAAGGCTAATTAAATAGACAGATCTCAAAAGATAAAATACAAATAGATAACAAAAAGATTTTTTTAAAATGCTCAACCTTACTAGCCATAAAAGAAATAAGAGTCAAAACTACAGTGAGATTCCATCTTATACTCATCAAAATGGCAGTCATTAGCAAGTAACAGGCTGAAAAGATGTCTCCACAGTTAAGAACACTCGCTGCTCTTCAAGACGACCTGAGTTTTGCTCCTATCATGCATGTCAGGAGGCTCACAACCACCTGTAACTCCAGCTCTCCGATGCCTCTAGCCTTTGAGGACATTTGCACTCACATGTATATACACTTATACCTAATTAAAAATAATAAAAATAAATTTCAAACAACAACAAACAAACTGCAATGGCTTGATCTGTGTCAACTTGATACAAGCTAGAGTCATCTAGAGTCAACTGAGGAAGAAGTCTCAGTTGATGAGATCTAGTTGTAAGGCATTTTCTCAATTAGTGATCAATGGTGGAGGGCCCAGACCATGGGAGTGTGGTACCAGCCCCTGGACTGCTGGTCCTGAGTTCTCTTAAGAAAGCAGGCTGAGCACGAGGAGCAAGCCAATAAGCAGCACCCCTCCAATGGCCTCTGCATTATCTCCTGCTTCTGGGATCTTGCTGGCTTCCTTCATTGATGAACAACAATGCTGAAGCATAAGCTAAATAAACCCTTTCTCCCCAACTTGCTTTTTGGTTATGATGTTTCATTACAGCAATAGAAACCATAACTAAGACACAAACAAGTAAAAAATCAACACTTAGACACTGCTAGTGGATGCAAACTAATCCAAACATCATGAAAGTCAATATGGCTGTTTCTCAAAATAAAATTCACTCTACCTTATGACTCAGTTAGAATCATTCTCAGATATTTAGCAGAAAAAAATATTTACCAAGAACAAAAAACATCAACATATCATAGATATACTTGTAGATCAAAAGTTACTGTAGCACTATGCACAATAGCTTGAGTCATAGAACCAACCTAGGTGTTCAATAACAGAGAAAGAATAAAATGTGGTACGTATACACAATTAGGATTCTTTTCTGCCATAAAGAACAAAATTAGGTCATTTGCAGAAAAAAAATGAATGAGTTAATCATCTTGAGTAAATTTATCCAGTCTCTGAAGGACAAAATTGCATGTTTTCTCTCACTTGTGGTTCCTAGAATTTATAGATAAAATAATGTATTAAGTAAAACTGTCTGTCTACAGAACCTCGGCACATACTAAATGCCACTTGACCAAAAACTGGATAAGGAAAATGTGGTATGCTGTGGGACAATGGTACAATAGTCTTGTACCCTGTAAAGATTTGTTCTTGTATTTTAATAAAATGCAGATTGGCCAGTAGCCAGGCAGGAAGTATAGGTAGGGTGACCAGAACAGGAGAATTCTGGGAGGAGGAAAGGCAGTCTGCAGTCATCACCCAGACACAGAGGTAACAAACTGAGAATGAGGTAACAAACTGAGAATGACTCACTGATAACAGGTACTAAGCCACGTGGCTAACATAGACAAGAATTATGGGTTAATATAAATTATAAGAGTTAATAAGAAGTCTGAGCTAATAGGCCAACCAATTTATAATTAATGTAGATCTCTGTGTGTTTTTTTGAGACTGAATGACTGCAGGACTGGGTGGGACAGAAATCTCTGTCAACAGTGGTAAATTTACACAATGGAGTACTATACAACAGAAAAAAATGACACCTTGAAATTTGCAAGCAAATAGATGGATCTAGAAAACATCACATTGAGTGAGTTAACCCAGACCCAGAAAGATAAATATCATATGTACTCATACATAAGTGACTTTTAGACATAAGTCAAAAAATAAAAAATAAGAACCAGCCTACAATTCACAATCCCAGAGAACCTAGACAACAATGAAGATTCTAATAGAGACATACATGGATTGAATGTACATGGGAAATAGAAAAAGACAAAATCTCCTGAGTAAATTGGGATCATGGGGACCACGGGAGAGGGAAGAAGGGAGGAGAGAGGATGGGAGGAGAGCAGAGAAAAATGTATAGCTCAATAAAAATCAATAAAAAAATACTGTCTAAGGAACAAAGGACTAACAGGAGTAAGAGGGGAATGAAGATGGAGGGTGGGTGGCATGGGGTGGGGAGTGTGCTGAACATACAATACAAATTTGCATGAAACTTAAAAAGCTAAAATAAAAACTGGAATAACAGCTTTTTAGAAGACATTTGTTTCACAGAACACATATTTAATTCAATTTAAGTATCTTAATTTGATTAATCTGATTTGACATTTGTGTAATTTTTAATTTAAATCCAATTTAAGAATAGGTCAGGATATGCAATTTACAAAAGAACTGACACATAAAAATGAATATTACTAAGATGGAGACAAATTTCATTTTCTATTTGAAGTCACTGTGCCTTTCAAAAAATTATAACATATACATGTAATAAAATATATGAGTATTTTTATTACTTTATTTTAAAAATTGTCAAATTAAAAGTGATCATAAAGTTACGTTTAATATATAGTTTTGATAGAACAACTTTGTTAAACAGGGTAGGAGGTTGTAGCTTTACATATTCTTTAAAATGTGAATTACCTTCAAATAAACTGAGGTCTCTTCGTAGCCGTGGTCCATAAAGCCCTTCTAAAATACTCTCAAAACCTGTGTTTTCAAAGAGAGAAAAGTTTATTAGCTCCTGGAAAATCTTTACTTTTTAATGATCAAAAACTGTAATTCTATGTCAATCAGCGATTAATTTACCATAGCATAATGTTATTTTTACCCAGTTTAAAAAAATTACTTGCTATTATACTATATATAGTGACTGCCAAATTAAGATTGTAAAGTAATTAGAATTTCCAAATGTACATATTAACCCAAGCTAAAGTACTGTCAAACATAATCTAATATTTTAGACAAGAATGCTGATGAGAATACAGGAAAAGGGTAACAGTCATTCACTATTGGTTGGATCGCAAAACTATGTAACCACTATGGAAATTAGTGTGGAAAATTTTCAAAGAAGGAAAAGCAGATCTACCATATGACCGACCTATAACACTATGTGGCATATGCCTAAAGGACTTGACATCATACGCCACAGATACTAACTTAGCCATGTTCATTGCTGCTCCACTCACAACAGCAAAGTGTAACATGAGGGCCAGCTTGTTGGGGTTTCTGTCCTGCCAGGTACTCCACAGCTGGCAAGCCCCAAAGAAAATCCCATATAGATCTTCGTAAGTTATAAAACTGATTGGCCCATTAGCTCAGGCTACTTATTAGCTCTTATAACATATACCAGCCCATTATTCTAGTATATGTTAGCCACATGGCTCAGTACCTTTCTCAGTGGGGCAGGTCACATCCTGCTTCTTTGGTGATCTGGGCAGGAGTCTGAGCAATGGGCTTCCTCCTTCCCAGAACTCTCCTATTCTCATCGCGCCACCTCTACTTCCTGTCTGGTTGACCCGCCTATATTTCCTGCCTAGCCAATCAGCGTTTATTTAAAACATGATTTACAAAATACAGACAATTCTCCCGCACCAGCAAAGAAATGGAAACAGCTTACATGTCCTATGCTAACAGATGGATAATGGAAATGTAGTATGGTATACTATAGAACACGAGTCAATTGTAAAGAAAAGTTCAATCATGAACTTTTGCAGGTAACTTGATGATGAAGCTAGAACACATGATACTAAATGAGGTGACTCAGACCCAGAAAGACAAACATATGTTCTCTGTTATTTTGAATGAATCCTAGCTTAAATATTTAGATGTGAATATATAGTCTGGAGAAACCATACTGCTGAAACTAGTGAAGTAAAAATGGGACCAGGTACAAGGGGCTGGAGGTGGGGAGAGTTACAAAAAGGGCCATAGTAGGAAAGAGGTGCTATAAAAAGGAAAATAGGAAAAATAGGGAGGGGGGAATTTATGTGGGAAAGGGAGGTGGAAAGGAAAACACTGGATAGAGAAGGAGGGATAAAGAACACCAAAGACAGAGAAGGAAAGATAAAGAACAAAGATGACTAAAAAAGATGCTTACTTACAGATAATAAGCATGTATGTGTATAAATAAAATATGGAAATAATTTACCTAAAGTTATGCCACTCAGGGTGATATGCTCCCATAAGAGCCACAGACTAACAAAAACCTTGGTTCCTTTTTGAATTATTGATCAGGGGGAGTTCAACAGACTTCCAAGGCTTGTAGTTGCCTCCCAGAACTTGAAAGGTAAAGCACTACAGCTGAAGACACCATATACTTCAGAACAGAATTTTCTAGAAATTAAGCTGGAACTGCTCTGAATACCGTCTCCCTAAGAATAAACTCTTGAATATCAGAAGGTGGTATACAAACTGCCAAGGGAGAGAACAGTTGGTACTTCCACCCAGATGTAAGGCCTATAAATCTCAACACTGACTGGATCAGCAAGCTATCCAGTGGTGCAATAGTGGCACTTACATTCTGGGACAACAGTTATCTAATTGGACTTAAGCCAACTTAACAGGAAGTGATTCATGCCTGGTACTGTAAATCTTGCTAGCTTCCAATTGATGAAGGGGTCACAGATGGGGGTAGAACTCTCTACTGATAGTTTCCTAAGCCAATATAATTTCTAACTGTATTCTAAATACTTCTCTTTATACCCACAAATAACCATGACATCTTTTACCTTTCAACAAAGAAGCTTCTTTTTGCAAGAGAAGGAGACTATTACAGAGATCCACAATTGGTCAAAATAAAGATAATAACTGACTGTAGGGTACCCAAATCCAATTGATAGATCTCCAGTGCAACACCAACATCTATGACTCAGGAAAAACTGTGGAAGGGAAGGCAGAAAGATTTTAAGAGCAAGAAGCCCAAGATCACTGATGTTAGATAGTATCTTCTATATATGACAAGGAAGCTGTACCCATAAGCTCTTAATATACGGTTACATGAGCAAACTCAGCACAATGACAAATACAGGTGACAAGAAGAACTTCAGATGGTCAATGTTTGCTGAGGGATGAGATTCTGATGCCCCTAGGGACAGGCCCTCCCACATAGACTATCCAATCCCTATTGGTCATCCCTGGATAAATGTATGTATGTAAAAGCAATGATGAACTGGCCCAAAGAAATTTCTTTGTATTTCTAGTTTGGCAGGCATTGATTTTCTATCATGAATGTTACTTAATTTTATCAGATTTATTTTGGTTACTGAACTAACTACAGCAAACATCCCTGACTGATTCTGAATGTTAAATCCTAGGGATACAGAGCATCATTCCTAGGGATATTGAGTATCAGATGACATTTTTACATGCTGGTCAGGTTTCTGACTCTGGTATCTCCTTTGAAATTTCACCAATGAAATTGGCTTATAACTGTTTTCCCTTTAACATTAAGCAAGGGGGAGGAAAGATTGTTAGAGCCAGAAGACTGGGATGCCTTCTGTAAAATCTCAGAGAAACGACAGGAAAATTTCAAGCATAATCTCTCACTAATACAGACGGCTGCCTTAGACATGATTTGAACAAGAACAACATGGAAGGGAGAAATCTCATGGAACCACACCTCAAAACAAGCAACTAAGGAATTCTGACAGCAGGAAAATAGTCTTTTCCAGGCATGATCCCCTAACTGGTCATCCAATACCAATGATCAGTTCTAAAAATACATGAGTGTAACACTAAATAGACTGAACAGATTATTTTTACACACACACACACACACACACACACACACACACACGCAACTAACAACTTAAGAAGCTATAAAATTGAGAGGGAGCAAGGAGGGACATAAGAAGGGGTAAAGAAAGAGAAGGGGAAAACAATGTGATAACATTTAAATTTAAAAGATTAAAACAAAATTTCTCTTGTACATGTTTTGACACTGCTCTGAGTACAGGAATATTCCTCCCTTCTCCAGTATCAAACAACAGATATTTGCATAGTTTTCACTATGTCTTTACTTCCTGTCACAGAATCAACACTGCTGCTTTTTATTCTTTATGCTTTCAATAAAGTTTAGTAGATGCTTCTCAATTTTTAAATTTATTTGTATTATTATGCTTATTTTCTTTTTGTTTTATGCTTTGCGTGCATGTATGTCTATATACTTACAAAAATTTTAATATTGTAATCAGAATATTGAATCAGAATATTTAATATTGAATCAGAAACTCAAGCAGTCAATTTTTTTGTTTGTTTTGGTTTTTTGAGACAGAGTTTCTCTGTAGCTCTGGAGCCTGTCCTGGAACTAGCTCTTGTAGACCAGGCTGGCCTCAAATTCAGAGATCCGCCTGCCTCTACCTCCTGAGAGCAGAGATTAAAGGTGTGTGCCACCACCGCCCAGCTACATACAGTCAACTTCTAACATTGTAATAATGAATCAGAACCTCATGCAAACAGTCAATTTTGTCCATCTGGGAGGAAACCTCAGTTCAAAAGAGGGGATTATTTCAGACATCAAGAGGCAGATAGGGATAGTAAGGGCTGCATTCCAGGCACTCGGAAAGGTTTGGTCAGCAAGAGACACAATGACAAAATTATAAGTATATGAGACACTTGTCTTGAGCTGCCTTCTTTACAACTCTGAAACCTGGACAACGAAATGCTCTTTGGAACAGCAGCTGAATGTGTCTGAGATGGCATGTCTCAGGAGGATTCTTGGGGTCACGCAAAGAGATAGACTATGCAACGATGATATTTAGAAACATCTCTATCTACAGAAGGAAGTAAACTACAGGATATGACAACAGCGCTTAAGATACTTTGGCCATGTTATGAGAATGAATGATGGCAGATACCCAAAGATAGCACTGCTTGGAGGAGTACAAGGGATAAAGTGAAAAGGAAGGCACAAAAAACACAGCATAAAGAAAGACTGTGGAATCTTAGGTATGACAATGACTAAGACAGTCACATTTAGTTTAATATCACAATTTCATCTATTTTCCTATAGACATGACTCAAATATTTTTATGGCTGAATAATATAATTATAATGATATACAATATAATATATACAATAAGTCACATTATATTACAATATAATAATAATCTACTGTATGTATGTAGTATCTACTGTATGAATGTAGGAGTATATATGTGTATTCACACCCTCTCTTTTGTCCATTGATGGGCTCCTACACTATTTCACATCCTGGCTCTTATAAATTGTGCTCCAATAAACAAATGAGTATTGTGATGGTTATTCTTGGTTGTCAACCTGACTACATCTGAAATGAACTAAAATTCAAAACTGGAGTGGCACATCTTTGAGGGAGTTTTGCTTAATTTGAATCCATTTTTACTCAGAATCTTAGAGGTGGAAAGATACACCTTTAATTTAGACCTTTGGGGTAGAAGGGTATACCTCTAATCTTGTCCATGTCCTCGGTTAGAAGTCTATACATGGAAGAAAACTTTTGCTATTTTTGTCTGTTTGTTTGTGTTAGACCAGTTTCTGTTGCCTGAACAAAATGTAGAACTCTCAGCTAACCTTCCATTATCATATCTGCCTGCACACCATGTCTCACCATCATGATACTGAACCAAACCTCTAAAAATGCAAGTCACGGCAAGTAAATGCTTTTCCTTTGTAAGAGTTGCCATGGTCATGCTGTCTCTTCACAGCAATAGAAATCCTAAGGCATGTGT